TCACCACCTGAAGAATGTCACCTACTTACAAGGTAATGAGATATTAAGATATTTTTAAAACTGCTAGATCTTGCCTATTCCACGATGCTAACACCTCTACCACTCAGTGGCCCGACATTTCTTGAGGTACCTGGCTGACACCTTACACAATTCTGTAGCTGCATAACTTCCTTCTGAGAAATTAGACTCTTTTCCTTCCTAACTAAAGATCAAACCACAGGACCCATTTCAAGCATGACTATACTGAAATATCAGATTGCAAAATCCACCTCATCACCACAAAGGCCCTCGCACAGCACATACTCACCTTCTCCTGCCCTGGCCCTCACAACACAGGGCTCCTGCTGACTCCTTGCCACCTGCTCCCTGATCCTGCACACTCTGTGGGCAGGGGCCATGTAACCTGCCCCAGCCCTATGAGCCCAGTACCTGGCACTGGGGCTGGGCAAACATGGGGTGCTTGGGAAAATGGGGACACATAAGTATACTTGCCTACAGGTGGCAGTGCCCCTGCTGTGAGTTTCCTCTAAGACCCAGAAATGTTTCTCTTCACATAACTGGGAACTGAGGAGGTGTTCCCAAGGTGCTGTAGACTAAATTTGTGTCCTCCACCCCCAAATGCATACATTGAAGCCCTAACCCCAATGTGATGGTATTTGGAGGTAATTAGGTTTAAATCAGGTCATGGAGGTGAAGACCTCGTGGTGGGATTCATGCCCTTATTAAAAACAAAAAGAAAGGGGGACCAGAGCTCCCTCTCCCTCCATGTGAAGACACAGCGGGGAGGAGGCCATCTGCAAGCCAGGAAGACAGCCCTCACCAGGAACTTGATCGTGGCCTTCCAGCCTCCAGAAGAGAAACACATGCCTATTATTTAGGCCAAATCGTCAATGGTCCTTTGCTAGAGCAGCCCAAGCTTACAAAGACAAAAGGCCAGTCACACAGGCAGATGACTCCTGGCAAGAGCCAGCTCCAAGCCCCATCAGACAACACCAGGCAGAGCAGCAGAGCCCTTCAACCTAGGTAGAGACAGCTGCCACTTCCCAGGTGAACTGATTACTTCCTGTCACCTGAACCACTGCCTCACAGATTTCTAGAACTAGAACTTTATTTCTTAGCTTCCTGCTGCCTTTATGCATTAAAATCCTCAAATCCACCTTTTATGCACACCTCACATCTGGGAGATGCTTGACTCACACACAGGGCTGCAACCCCTCCAGAGAGAGCACCACCACAGCTGAAACCTCAAACTAGAGTGCAGGCCCACAGTGCTCATGGTCCCCTCCATGCTCTGGGAGCAAGGCTGTAACCCTGAAAAGTAGTCACAGCCCCTGTAGCAAACCTGGTATCACTAAGAATGGAGCCCACAAGCCTACCACTTACTTTGAACCCAAATGCAGATAATGTCAACTTGAGCCCTCATCTCTGCTTCCACAGGTCCTCCCTGCCCACTGGGCTACGTGGTACACCTGAGGGGCTGCCAAGTTTCCCTGGGCAGCTCCACTGGCATTTTACCCTCCAACAAAGCATGTAAAGGTCAGCCTGTAGCCAACTGCTTTACATCCACACTGGCAGGATTCCTCCCCTTGGGCCACTGCTCTAGTTTTTAAAATACGTACTGCAGCACAGAACTCCCCAGCTGTATATACTGCTAAATACTGTGTATCCTGACAATGTGGCAGGCCACACCCTGAGCCCACCCTGCTAGAGTTCTGCGCCAGGACTCACTGAAAACAGCGGTTCCAGAAAATAGTAAATGCTTCTCTTTCTCCCCAACACTGAAATGGGGACATGTGGCAGACCTGGTATAGGAAGGTGAGGGGTCCCACCTGTGACTGGACTGCTCAGTCAGACACAGACGCTGTCACAGAGGGAGGCCCCTGCGCCCTAGACACTGGGAAGTTCAAGTAGGTGGGCAGCCAGACCCTCCCACTCTGCAGTGGTCCCAGCTCCCATCAGCCAAAACAAGAGAAGGTCAGAAACCGCCTGGGACTCAGGCACTGATTGGGATAAGTGGTATATACAGAATCAACCCCATTTAGCTCCCCTAACTACAGACTTGACCCTGAAATGGGTCAATTCCAAATCCCCACATTTAACAAAGACTGACACAGTGTGCTGGCACTACTGTGTGTGTTGGGTGTACAAGTGAAAGAACAGGGAGACAGACAGGCATTCAGCTATTAGATGGAAACAGTGCCAAACTTCAGACAGAAAAGAAAGCAATGAATTCTGTACTTCTTCTTTTTTTTTTTTTTTAAAAAAGATGGAGTTTCACCATGATGGCCAGGCTGATCTTGAACTCCTGACCTCAGGTGATCCACCCACCTCGGCCTCCCAAAGTGCTAGGATTACAGGTGTGAGCCACCACGCCCGGCCATGAATTCTGTTCTGAGGGATGTTTTGGAGGTAGGCAGCACCACGGGCTCAGACCCTGATGGACTCAGCCACACACAGGTCCACAGGGAATGCCAACAACACTGGCAATGGCCAGCCCTCCAGTCAGGCCTGGACCCAAGTCAGGGCCAGCTCAAATGTAGATCTGACTCCCTCTCCTCAGTGACCCCAGCTTCCGGAGTTAGGACAGACAGCTGCTCAAAACACTCATCGTTGCACGCCCTCCAGCCAATGCAGCTACAAGCATCACTCTAGCTCCAGCCTAGAGGGCACCCTCAGAACTGGACTGGGGATACTGAAGAAATGTGGGTGTGCCTGATGGGGAGCCCTTGTGGGCATCTAGAGGCCTCCCCGTGGCAGGCTACTCCAAAGCAGGCCATGTGCTTCCAGAGACCTGGAATTCAGCCAGGAGAGCTGACTCCAGCCTTCCATCGTGGTTCAGAACTGGGCCCACTACTCCAAGAAAAAGAAAGGGCCTCTGCTGTGCAGCCACCACTGGCCCTCCCCACCAGAGACAAGCTCCTGCTTCCTGTAAGTTCAGCCCTACTGCCACCTGCACCACATCAGAGCCCACGTTACAGGTCAGCAAGGCAATGAGCCAGGTGCTGTGCTGTAGCAGCACCCAGATCACTCAGTGAGGGCTGTGGGCAGGCAGCCTTCAGCAATCAGCCCTTTCAGGGATTTTGTGGCTGCACAAACCTGCACTCTACACCACGCCCATTTTAGGCAACCCCAATCTAATGACTGATGGGTGCAGAGCAGGAAGACCTATCTCACTAGACTGCAAACAGCTCTGAGGGGCTATGCTTACTCTTGCTCCAAAGCAGAAGCTGTCATGGGGCCTTCCTCTCCCTGTGCCCACTCTGACGTCCCTCACCTCCCCCAACAGGTGTTGTCCCAGAGGTACCCCTTAGTAAGGATCTTGCGTGACAAACTCCCTGCCTCCTCTTCAGCAAACCCAGCCCATGGCATAAAGTCCCAAAGACATACTGATACAAATTTCTACCACCTATGGATGCTCGTGAATAACACCCTCACACAAGCCACAGTATAGGAAGACAATTCTGACTGTAGCAATCTTCAACTCCAATGCCCCACTTTTCTCAAAGTCCCAAAAGGGAGTTTGGATTTCACCTGGAAAGGATTCTCACTTTATCAGCCCTCCAAGTGCCTTGCACACCTTCCAACAGCCACAGACTCTGCCAGCCTCCACAGCACCACTTCCATCGTAACTCCCCAGAAGATAGAAGGCCAGACTGCCACAACAGTCAAGCCACCCACAGGGCAAGCTAAACAAAGGAACACTCTAGGTGCGGACCCCACAAACATGAAGCATGAACCATCAGGCACAGTTGTTGTACTTTGTGTGTACAGCCACCTCTGTCAGATGAGGCCCTCCCTTCTCTTTACCCAACCTCCACCACAAGCCCAAACTATGACAAGCCTAAACTACTAACCACTAACCTGGCCTGCAGCGCCTGAGGCAGGTGGGGGAAAGGCCACGAGGGCGGGCGGGTGGGGGGGGTGTTATCCTGTGTTCTACGTTCTGCTGCCATTTATCACCAGTGCTTTGACTCTGAAACTTGACTGTCACCAGTGCCCAGGGAGGATGGAAATGGTGGCCTCAAGAGTTGACTCTGTTCCTCTCCTTGTGAGACCCTTCTTGTTCTTGATGGGTCTCACAAGGTCAAAGAACCTCAGCTGGGCCCTATCAACTCGGCCAAAGATATTTCCTTCCTTGGAGCTGGAGGGGAGCCCAGGTTGGTGGGCTCTGTCAGGTCCTGAAACCAGCAGAGAACTCCAGGGTGAGTTCCTGAGCAGGGTAGGAGACGTGAAGACACAGAGCCTCCTTGAACGCTCATTTCTGTGGACCTGCACTTCTGTTCTGCTCCTTTGGTTTCTGCTTGTTGCATCTGCTCCCCCAGAGCCTATTCTACCCCAGTATGTGGGTCTGGCTGTCTTGCTGCAATAAAGCCACAACCTGGGCAAGTTTCTTAACCTCTCTAAGTCTCAGCAGTTCACGGGGAAAAATGAAGCATCCATCTGGCAAGACTTTGAAAAGTTGAACAAGAATTACCCCATTAAGTGCCTACTATGGCTCAAGTGGGGCCAAAGTTCATGTTGAAGCTTAATTCCACTGTGGTAGTATTAAGAGGTGGGGCCTCTGGGGAAGTGATGAGGTCATGAGGGCTCTGCCTCATGAATGGATTAGTGCCTTACGAAAGGGCAGGAGAGAACAGGCTTAGGCCCTTTTTGCCCTTCCAGCTCTTCTGCCATGTGAAGACACAGCAACAAGGTGCTATCTTTGAAGCAGAGAGCTACCTTTACCAGACACCAATCCTACTAGGACCTTGATCCTGGACTTCCCAGCCTCCAAAACTGTGAGACGTCAACCTCTATTGTTTATAAATTACCCAATGTGTAGCATTTTGTTACAGCAGCACAAATGGACTAAGAAGGTGTCTACCAGAGGGCCTGGCCCTAAATGTTCAATATACAAAAGCTACTGTTAGCTACTATTAACCGTGACAATGACTGGGTAAGGAAGATGGGACAGCCTATATGTCAGCTTCTACCCTTTCCTCTTCATTCCTCGCTGCAACTCCTCAGGCACTGAAGCACTCACTGTCTACTTCAAGTACAGCAACAACACACCATTTTCCTGGCTTGCGCTGCAGATGGAGCCCAGAATCTGAGAAGACATTCAAGTCCTATCAGGTACAACCCAAGTAAGGTGCTCCAGCTCTTGTGCTGCCCTTTGGGCCTTTTAGGGTAAATCCTCCAGTGCAACAGGCTCTGAATACAATCTAGTGTTCTGAATACAAATCCCAGGCTTTGTAAGAAAGGCCAAGATGTGAAACACTATTCTTACTCCACTTTCAACCAATCATCCATCAGGCGAAAATCCAAAACTAAGTCCAAACTCAGGGGCAGAGGGAGAACAAGAAAAAGAGTACAGGCTGGGTGCAGTGGCTCATGCCTGATACGCCAGCACATTGGTAGGTCAAGGCAGGTGATCACTTGAGGTCAGTGGTTTGAAACCAGCCTGGCCAACATGTTGAAACTCTGTCTCTACTAAAATTACTAAAATTAGCTGGGCATAGTGGTGCGTGCCTATAATTGCAGCTATTCAGGAGGCTGAGGCATGAGAATCGCTTGAACCCAGGAGGCGAAGGTTGCAGTGGGCAGAGATTGAGCCACCGCATTCCAGCCTGGGTGAAGGGCTGAGACTCTGTCTCAAAAAAGGAGAAGAAAAAGAGTACATTGTTAAGTCCCCACCCAGTTCCCATTCCTTCCCCAGTTTAACAGTGATTTGTGTCTGGGAAGGCCAAGCACAGTACTTTTACACACAGCAGCTCTTCTGCTGTTAGATTCTTTCAGGACACGTAATGTCTATAATCTCCACTTTGTCAACCTAATACAACATGAAAACAGGGAGTTCCAATACACTAATCAACTCTTTGCTTTCTAGCTGCTATACATGTAAGAAATGTAAACACTTGTCGGGTGGGGTGGTTCACACCTATAATCCCAGCACTTTGGGAAGGCAGAGGTGGGTGAATCACTTGAGCCCAGGAGTTCAAGACTAGCCTGAGCAACATAATGAAACCCTTTTTTTTTTTTTTTTTTTTTTTTTGAGACGGAGTCTCACTCTTGTCACCCAGACTGGAGTCCAGTAGCACAATCTCGGCTCACTGCAAACTCTGCCTCCCAGGTTCAAGCGATTCTCCTGCCTCAGCCTCCCCAGTAGCTGAGATTACAGGCACCCACCACCATGCCCAGCTAATTTTTTTGTATTTTTAGTAGAGACAAGGTTTCTCCATGTTGGCCAGGCTGGTCTTGAACTCCTGACCTTAGGTGATCCTCCAGCCTCGGGCTCCCAAAGTGAGCCACCAAGGCTGGCCAAAACCCCATCTCCACCAAAAAAAAAAAAAAAAAAAAAAATTAGCTGGGCATGGTGGTGCTCGCCTATAGTCCCAGCTACTCAGGAGGCTGAGGTGACAGGATCACCTAAGCCCAGGAGGTTGAGGCTGCAGTGGGCCATGATTGTGCCACTGCACTCCCACCTGGGTGACAGAGTAAGATCCCATCTCAAAAAATTTAAAAAATAAATTAAATAAATGCTAACACTTGATATAAAATAAAGTAAGGCCGGGCACAGTGGCTCATGCCTGTAATTCCAGCACTTTGGGAGGCCAAGGTGGGTGGATCACCTGAGGTCAGGAGTTCGAGACCAGCCGCTAACATGATGAAACTCCATCTCTATTAAGAATACAAAAATTTGGCCAGGTGCAGTGGCTCACACTTGTAATCCCAGCATTTTGAGAGGCCGAGGTGGGTGGATCAACTGAGGTCAGAAGTTCGAGACCAGCCTGAATAACACGGAGAAACCCCATCTCTACTAAAAATACAAAATTAGCTGGGCATGATGGTACATGCCTGTAATCCCAGCTACTCAAGAGGCTAAGGCAGGAGAATTGCTTGAACTTGGGAGGCGGAGGTTGCAGTGAGCCAAGATCGCACCGTTGCACTTCATACTCCAGCCTTGGAAACAAGAGTGAAAATCCTTTAAAAAGAAAAAAAAAAAAAAGAATGCAAAAATTAGCTGAGTGTGGTGTCGGGTGCCTGTAATCTCAGCTACTTGGGAGGCTGAGGCAGGAGAATTGCTTGAACCCAAGAGATGGAGGTTGCAGTGAGCCGAGACTGCGCCACTGCATTCCAGCCTGGGCAACAGAGTGAGACTCTGTCTCAAATAAATAAATAAATAAAGTAAAAAGTTAACTTTATTATAATTAAGCAAATTATAATCTCCTTAAAGGCTGCAACTGTTTCTTCATCTTTTGTAGACCTTATAACCCCCAAGAAACTGACTTTAAAGCACCTAAAAATTTTAAGTTTGCTAAATGAATAAATACAAATTTTACGCTTGAACATACAAATTAACATATATCTGCTTACGTGCATACTCTCACACATTTCACCAACGCTTCTCCAAGGATAAAGTTTCTCCTCACCAACAAGGATAACAGAAGTCACTAAAACTCTAGAACACTACCTGTTACTAATTCGGTGAAGAGAACTAATTTTCCACAAGACTCGCCATAGGCTTTGACCTGAATAAAACAGGAAAAGATCCTAGGAGATTACAAAATTTGACTCCTTTCCATTTACAGAACAGAAACTATGGTGTTGAGAATCAGAAAGAGAGGAAGATAATGGCAGCTCTGAAACAAGTCTTAGGTGTTGCTGCCTCTCAGCACCTTACTCCTTTTGCTAGCACTTTGGCAGATGTGACAAAGAACATTCCAAGTGTGTAAGTGTATAAGACACACTGCAGTTTCTAATACCATTTCCTTGCAAAAGCACATTCACATCATCTGCATGGTACGATGTCCTTCCACCATAAGAGATAAGCAATTATATTTTAAAATCTTTTTAAACAGGTATTTCTATTCAGCAATAGATTGCTTTATGTCCCAAAAGACTCTCCAGTCAAACTTCATTTTGTTACAGGATACAAAAACAGTTCACACGAATGATCATTACCTTTAACAAGCAATTTGTCTCTCACAGAAACCCTCCTAGTGGAGTCCGACGCTGTGGCTGCCGTCCGGGACCCTTTGAGACCATCATCACGCTTCAGTTTGCTTGCTAGCGTTAGCATTACTGCTGCCTTTACCCTGAAAGACAGCAATGAAGGCCGGATTAAACACCAGGTCTCCAGAGACTAATCTGACATTGAGGAAAATGTACAGGTGCTTTTGTATTTTGATTTTTTCCCATATGGAAAAGTTTTGCATACATCAATAAGATTGGATTCCTTCATAATACATTTGAGTAAGCTCTATGACATCCTCTATAAGCCTAACTTTTAAAATTATGAATTGACATTTTTTAAAAAAGAGAGTCATGGCTGGGCATGGTGGCTCACACCTATAATCCCAGCACTTTGGGAGGCCAAGGTGGGAGGATCGCTTGAGCCTAGGAGTTCAAGACCAGCCTGGGCAATATAGCAAAACCCTGTCTCTACAAAAAATACAAAAAAAAAAAAAAAAAAAAAAGAAAGAAAGAAAGAAAGAAAGAAAAAACAACAACAAAAATTAGCTAGGAGTGGTGTCATGCACCGGTAGTCCCAGCTACTCAGGAAGCTTAAGTGGAAGGATCCCTTGAGCCTGGGAGGTTGGGGATGCAGTGAGCCATGACTGTGCCACTGCATTATGGCCTGGGTGACAGAGCAAGACCGTGTCTCATGAAACAAAATAAAATAAAAGAGTCATGCATGTCACACTCCCTGGTTACCCACTAGGTGCCAGGCCCCGGGATGTGGTTGTGACAAAGCTCCCGTGGAACATAAGGTCTAGGGTGGCCTCCACAACCTCTCAGCCAGAGTGCCCTCACCAATGGGTTCCACATGGGTCCATTACTGCCCACTGGTTAAGTCTCCCCTTCCCTGCTGCAGGGGACCATACCCATGGCATGGTCCTAGGACCTGGCCCATCACCACCTGAAGCAGCACAGCCTCTGGTGGAGGAGGAGTACTACTCTTTGCTCTCCTTCCTCCTTTAATAAAGGTGTGGCTACAGTCTTAATAAGCATCTTCTCATTTATTCATGCTGTGTTGCATTCACTTACATTTGTGTTTTATTTATATTTTTTGGCCATTTCAACATCAAGACTAAATTAAAAGTAATGGCCCAAAGTAGATTATGTTCATTGGTGGCTTCCAACCCATCTGTGTTGCAGGTTCCCCTACTGCAAGCTCACTGGGAGGGACAACAAAGACCAAACACAGGTGATGCCGCTTGCTGCTTGGGAGAGAGGTGAAGAAATGCCACAATTTGTTCAAGATTTTATTTTTTAAGGGCAGTTTTAGTATACAGTAAGATTAAGAGGAAGGTATAAAGAGATTTCCCATATGCCTCCTGCCCCAACACATGCACACTCTCCCCTATTACTAACATCCCCCACCAGAGGGTACATTTGTTACAATTAATGAACCCAGGTTAACACATTATTACTCAAAGTCCACAGCTTACATTATAATCCCACTAATTGTAACAGTGTAACTATCCTCTAAACTCCGCCTTCTGTTTCTAACATAAACTGACATTAATCTTCCTCCTAACTCTTGCTTACTTTGCCAGAGTCAGAGAGGAGCTCTGGAACTTCTTTTGATTGAGGACAAAAATTTGTCACTAGTTCAATATTTCCATCATTTCCTATCACTTTATTTCAATACTACTCTGATCATTTTCAACAGAAAATGATCTAAAAATTCCATGTGAAAAGCTTGACCTAAGCATAGAAATTTTAGGTTGAGACTAAGATCCTAAAAGTCAAATAAGAATACTCCTGTCCTCACTGGCATTTTAAACCATTTTAAACCCAGGTCTCTTACACAGTTTCTCACACCATCTTCTGCATATTCCCTAAAGGCTGTCAGATTTTATTTTCTATTGTTTGTATCATGAAAACACAATATAGGCCCGCATGGTGGTTCACACCTATAATCCCAGCATTTTGGGAGGCCAAGGTGGGTGGATCACTTGAGGTTAGGAGTTCTAGACTAACCTGGCCAGCATGGCCAAAACACCATCTCTACTAAAAATACAAAAAAAAAAAATCCAGGCATGGTGGCCGGTGCCTGTAATCCCAGCTACCCAGGAGGCTGAGGCAGGAGAATCGCTTGAACCTGGGAGGTGGAAGTTGCAGTGAGCCAAGATTGTGCCATTGTACTCCAGCCTGGGTAACAAGAGTGAAACTGCATCTCCAAAAATAATTTAAAAAAATTTTTTTTAATGTTTTAAAAATGAAAATAATACACAGAACTGGGATTACAGACGTGAGCCACCATGCCCGGAAGGATATGTTTTTATCTGGAGTGTGGTCATGGTTTCAGACTGATCAATTACACAGTTTAAATACGGGCAGTTTAGTGTATTTCAGTTACGCCTCAATAAAGTTGACAAAAATGTGAAAAGAAACCAATGTTAGTTTCTTCATTGCTACGCCATCTCCTCAAGTGGACCTACATAACAGCACATCTTCACAGCTTCGCCCAGGGCAAAGCAACTGTGTTCAGCTGATGAAGTTACTTCACAGGAAATAGTCACAAACACCACAGGGTTTCAGCTGCCAGAAACAGTAGCACCTTCTACAGTCAAGCTCTCCTGCTTCAGCCCCTACCTGGAATGATCTTGTCAAAAATCCCTCGAAAGGATTCCTTTTCACGGAAGTGTTTCCCTTACCGGCCAAGTCTGCTGCCATGTGTGCAGACTCCAGCACATCAGTCCTGCCACATTGTCAGGATCACCTAATTATGGACCAAGATGTGCATCCATCCATCACTTGTGGGTCAGGTGGACCCACCAGATGCCCTACACAAGGACTACCAGGTTTTATCCTCTGGCTGACCTTGACAATGAAAATGAAGCAAAGAACTACAAAATAAAAGCACAACATGCTTGAACATGAGTTCAGCAGGCAGTATCCTAGGAAAGTCAGAATGAAGAGCCCCATAGCCTGCACTGAGGGAGCTGCTCAGGGGGACCTGGGGGGAGTGATGACCCCTCACATACTGAAAGGCTTACCACCAAGAAACTCTTCTGCACCACTACAGCCCACAGGTGGTGCTTAATGCTTTTATGCCTCCTATCATACCACACTGAAGTATTCTCTGTGGGCAGAAGATGCCCCAATATTCAATTCCACTAGAAGAGTCAGATTGCTGGTTTACTATCTTCAAGTTTATGACTTGCAAGATATAAAAGAATGTAACACTGCTGTTTTGTTTTCCACAGAAGATAATAAAAAATGTACCTTCCTAACATTCTAAAAACATAAGGACATAATGGCCATCTATTTTTCTATCAGGTGTATCACTTTCACATGCCACTTTAAGGATAAACCCAAGGCCTAATTTGGAAATGTTTCCGTAGTTGTAGAATTAAATCTATACCAAAGGGTTCTAAAAAAAAAATAAGTAGTCTAACTGTCAAGAGGCTAGTTGAATACCTGCAGGTGCTTCAGAATTCTTTTCCTTATTCAATATGCTTCAACTCTTGAAGATGTGGTTTAAAGCAAAACTTCCCCTTTCCTGCAAATTATGCTCTGACTAAGGCAGCATTTCGGTAACAGATCAGCTGTTCTGAACAGCATGCTCAGCCTCTAAATTCCACAAGTTGTAATTGGCCCAGTTAGGTTCCTCCTCTGGGTGGGACCTGCTTTTGGAATGCCCAGAGAAGAGGATCTGGTGTACAATTTACTAATGCCATCAAGTGATATTTACTCAGCATCCCTGCAAGCAATGGCAAAACCAGGCCATGTCACTTGTGCAGGGACACCAGGGGCCAGCCAGCTCAAGGTGAGTGGACTACTTACTTACAATTCCTTTCTCATGGAGACGTCTCAATCCAAGCATAAACAGCGGGTCACTAGGGGACACTCAACTTCCCCAGCCAAAGGGGTCCAGATCAGGGTACAACAAAGTCCATATCCCACTTTTCTAAAGAATGCCAGTGCCCAGGAACCTCCCGCTTGGCACAAGAGTACGCTGGTTGACTGACCATCTTTGGAGCCCAGTCCTTTTTATTCTCAGCAGTAAATCTGCCCCTTCCTGCACTGCCTACTACCTGAACGGCAGGTATGTCCAGGCGGGGGTCCTCAAGCCCCACAGCACTAAGCCTGGTGTGATTCTGTCTCAGTCTCCCTCTGCCACCTCTATGCTTCCCCCTTGCCTTCACCTCATTCCTCAGCCAGGATTCCTCTGCACCAGGCAGGCCAGTTTCCTCTTTGTTCCTTAACAACACCCCGCTCATTTCCAGAAGCTTCTATTCAATCTGATACCCAGGTCCGGAACGTCCTCCTTCCCTTCACCAACGAATCCTACCCCTTCCTTAAGGTCCAACGTCTCCTCTGAGAAGCCTTCTCTGGTATTCCAGCCCATCCTGTCACCACTTCCAGGGGGTCGGGAATGCAGAGTGGGGGTCCCAATTCTCTCCTGTGACAGGTGAGGAAACTGAGCCCAGGGAGGAGAAGGCCACACCCAAGATGACACACCAGCAGAACCAGGTCTGGAACCAAGACTCTGCTGCACTAATTGCTCCCAGATGCCCTCCCCTCCTCGTCTCCTTTGCCGTGGTAAACACTTTCCAAACTAGTCCGGGCGCCCCCAGTCGTGGGTAAGCGTCCACACGTGCTCTTCCCGCTGCAGGGACGCGGACTCCCCTCACCTCCCCCGCTCCGCACGGCCTAGCGCGACTCCTGCGGCGATCGGGAGTCCAGTCCCGCTTTCTGCGGCCACGACGGGCCGGTGACCTTGGCCAGGCGCTGGACGCCCCGCTTCCTCCGTGCAAGGCAGGCAGCAGACTCCGCGAGAGGGGCGTGAGCGCGGCCAGCTCTGCCACGCTCGGCCCGGGGCCTGGCTCGCACCAGGTACTCGGCGCGGGCCGCCCCCCGCCGCCGCCGCCGCCGCGGTCACTCACTGCCGGCCAGGCCAGCGCCCCGGCCGCCGACGCCGTCCCCGACCTCCGGCTCACTGCCCGCGGCCCGCGGCTCCTTCCCATTCCCGCCGCTCGGCCTCGCGTCCAGGTGCCCGCGCCCGCCTGGCGCCCGGCGTGAGGAAGCCGGCGGGCCTGAGGCAGCCCCGGCGCCGCCCGCGCGCTCCGCCCGGCCCGCAGGCCAGCCCGTGCACCGGCGTCCGCACCTCGCCCCGCCGCAGAGCCGCGCGGTCGCTGCTCACCTGGGCTCCCCGAGACAGGCGAGGCGGGCCCGGCGCCCAACACCATGCCCGGCCGGGGCGGCTGCTGCGAGATGCGGCCCCTCACAGCCGCACCGGCTCCCGGCGGCGGGACCGGAAGTGGCGGGGCGGGGACTCGGCCGCTTTCGCCCGCGGCTGCCGCGACAGCAGCGGGCGCTTTAAAAAAAAAATTCAAAGTCGCAGAAAACTTTATTCGGAACCAGACACGCGAACAGCGGCGGGCGCCGGTCGGGACTCGGCTGGGCGACAGGACGCTCAGACTTCGCTCATTGGCAGAAGGCGCGGCCGGGGGGCGGGTACGGATTTTGCGACTGTCGCTGATTGGCGAGTAGCAGTTAGGGGCGGGGCTTCCGAGTTGGCTCCGAAGCCCGAGTGCCCGAGCGCCGGGGGTTTTGCACTTGGAGTTCCAAGCCGGGTTCACTTCGTGGTGTGCAAGGTCTGGGGCCTCCGAGGAGCCCGGGCTATCCTTCTCTGAAGGAGCGGCCTCCGTGGCTGGAGCTCCCGCTGTCCAGCACCGTACCTGGAGTTAGGACTGGACCGGCCCCCGCAGCCTGCAGTGCGCGCGGTGGGGGTGACCCGGCGGTCAGACCCACAAACCGCCACCAGCCCAAACCCGTGTGCTGCGCCGGCAGGCCCCGCTGTTCTCGTCACGTCCCTTTTATTCTTTCTTTTCTCTCTTAAATGTGGTTAAAGTTAAAAATCCATTTCAGCTTGTCCTCTTTCCCGCTCGTGGAGCCCAGATTCATCTCTTGCCCGTCAGCGTCCTGTGTGATTGACAAGGGTCTGCCCTGGGGGTCAGGCAGGCCCCTGGAGGAGTGGGCCATTGGAAAGATGAGGTTCAGCACGGAGTCGGTCAGGAGACAGGGAGTTAGATTTTCATTTCCAAAAACCCCACGGAGAGGTTTCTATCAGCGGATTGGCAATACCAGGTTCTCTTCCTAAACCTGGCTGGCGGGCCTGGTGGCTCTTGCCTATAATCCCAGCATTTCGGGAGGCCAAAGTGGGAGGATCCCTTGAGCCCAAGAGTTCAAGACCAGCCTGGGCAACATGGCAAGATCCCATCGCTACAAAATAATAATAATAATAATAATACAAAAATTAGCCGGGCATGGTGGCGAGCACCTGTACTCCTTGCTACTCAGAAGACTGCGATGGGAGGATCACCTGAGCGCGGGAGGTCGAGGCTGCAGTGAGCCGTGATCGCACCACTGCACTCCCCCTCGGGTGGCAGGGCCAGACCTTGTCCTCATAATAATAATAAAGCCTTTGAGGCCGGGCGCGGTGGCTCAAGCCTGTAATCCCAGCACTGTGGGAGGCCGAGGCGGGTGGATCACGAGGTCAAGAGATCGAGACCATCCTGGTCAACATAGTGAAACCCCGTCTCTACTAAAAATACAAAAAATTAGCTGGGCATGGTGGCGCGTGCCTGTAATCCCAGCTACTCAGGAGGCTGAGGCAGGAGAATTGCCTGAACCCGGGAGGCGGAGGTTGCAGTGAGCCGAGATCGCGCCATTGCACTCCAGCCTGGGTAACATGAGGGAAACTCCGTCTCAAAAAAAAAAAAAAAAAAAAAAAAAAAA